AATCAAACACGATCAGTGGATCGGTATAAAATTAGATTTGGGTTCCATGATCAACGGTAGGCACTCCGGCGCGCGCATCTTCGGTCTCTGCTGCACGGACGGTGAGATCGGAATGTAGTTCATCGGTTTCGCTAATCTGAGCATCATAGACTCGACGCGAAACTCGCGAACAAACCTCGTAAAATTGTATGCCGAAATATCGGGCGTGTTCACACATGCGACCTATAATGAGCATAAAATAATGAATTTAAGAAAGTTTGAAATAAATAATAGATACCATAAACGGTATGAAGAAAAAATTAAAAAATTTCAATTTTTAATTTTACCTATAATATCCAAGTGATTCAGAAGCTTGAGAGTGCCTACAACCCTGGTGACATAATGACGTATAACTCTGCTTTTAATTATCATGCTCTCCTGTTTCCACCAAGTGGACAACGTCTTGAAGGAAGGCCACGGAATTCTCTCGTGTAGAACGTGGTGCATGACGTTCTCAAAGGTGTACGTCAATAACGCTGGAAGAAATTAGTTAATTTTATTTCCTTTTAAACAGAGAAAATATAATATATAAATTTAAAGTGCAAACTTAATCTTAAACGATATTGAAACCGTCTCACCTGCCTCATGTCTCATGATCCTCCAGACATCGAGGATGTTACGACCAGGTACCTTCACCTCACCTACATCGTCCTTCTCAAACGCGTGGGCGTCGGATTTGGAAAACATCTGCATGTGCGGTACTTCTCATTGGGAAGTGTTACCGAGGCCAAGGTGAAACGCATGCTGAAAAACTTAGCCCCACGAAAGCGCCTCCACTTCCCAGCCAAGTAGAATGTCTGGATTTTGTCGCTCGATCAATTTCACAAGGCTGTCGAAGTTCCGTTGTCGGGCGTCCCGTTCCGTTGCGACGTACAGGATTGGACACATCGCACTAGCAGAGTGGATCTTGTTGAGTCTTGCGCTTACAGAGTCAGAATTTACAATTATGGCGGCTAAAACGAAAAAAAAAAAAAAAAATTTAATGTGGACAATTTATACTTCAAGATGTTTTGAAGTGTTAAAAAAATGTTGAGTTCCTTGATTCTCAAAGCAAAGTTTTGAAGATATAAAATATTTTTAACATAAAATTATGTTAATAATCACAATGTTCTATCTGCTCCTTGGCGTCTATCGGGGCGTCGTTGTGAATCGCGTAAAATAATGCGGCGACAATATCGTACTGCGGATCGGGGAGCAGATCTTCCCGGGTAACAACGAGCACTTCGAGGGTCAAGGACGTCAGGTACTGACGCTGCGGAAAATTTGAAGAGGCGTGAAATAAACCCTTGTATCTGCCACTCACAAATAGAATTAAAATAGCGCACTTACTACTGTTACTGCTCTAGCTTTCTGCAGATTCTCGTTCGAGACGTTACCGTAGCTCCCTTTGGATGAACATTTGATTTGACCGTACAAAACGCCTAGCTGCGTCTTATCCGGTTTATGTAGCAACGGATTTTCCAGTGCTCGTTTTAAGGAAGGGGCCAAACTGCTCTCCGATATCAATGATTTCTCGGAATTCTGTGACTTCCTGGACTCGTCAGAAGTTCCGCTCAGCGCGCATTGTTGAGGTATCGGCGAATACACGTTCGAATCATTATCGATTAAATCATTTGATGCTCCCGATTGAGGTTTAATCTCTTCGGCATTAATCTGTGGCTGCTGCACGTCTTGTGCATTTACCGCCTCTTTCTTGTTCTTCTGCTTGCACGACCTGACATCGGAATTTTTT